AGATAAAAATGATCACATTCACAGTACAATATATTTTATTGCTGAAGTATTCACTGCAAACATACACAGTTATATTTTGCTATAAGAGTAAAAGTTAAAATTAGCTTAATCTGAAAGTGAACAGTATACAAAACTGTACATATTTTCCCACATAAAAAATATCCTGCACATTCTCCAACTTAAAAATTAAAATCCTACAGAGCTACTGCAGTCCCATTTCTGCTTTTACAGAAATTTATTTAGTCCAAATACAGGCATTTTACCGAAGATATACTCCCCTCTGTAGATGTCCATGCATACCCGAAACCTTTGTTTAAATACACCCATTTAGTTTACATCTGTACCACGACGACAGGCTAGAATATGAAGCCCGCGCCTCATAGCACAAAAACGTCCTTGAGAGGCTGGGCTGTATCTGTATGATATAAAAAATAAATCCTGCCATCTTTACAAATCCCCCACGGTTGTTATTTCGCTCTCCCCGGGATCCAAAGAGCCTTGAAGTTTTAGTTTTGTTTCTCAACACAAAGCCAGGTTGTGAAACATGAAGAGTCTGGCCACGTTGGGGCGAAACATTCCTGAACTTTTACCGCACACAACAGCGGCAATTTATGATTATGAAAAGAGAAGTACTTCTCTTTCACAGACGATGCTCTCCGAGGATACCATTTTAAAAATCCTGTTGCACCTAATTAATGACCTTCTACTGAGCAGAGGGAGGAGGGTATGTGTCTCTCTAGCAGTTTCTATACAAATTCAATAGCTTTTAGAATGCACCCACAAAAAAAAAGACATAAGCTAACAACATTCTCAGTAAATTTTCTACAAGACGTCCTTCAGTGTTGCACTAAATATGAAAGTGAGGACCCGATAAGGCATCCCCGCACATGTGCAAGCACAAAACCAAATGAGGGAAGAGAATAATGCAAAACAACTCAGTTTTATACGAGCTTGGAGAACATTGCCTCAGGTTCACATCCTGTTATTCAAGCACAGGTTATGTACTAGTCCAATTTCCTCTCCTCTAATCACCACCATACGCACCTGCGCCATGTGGTTACAGACTACCGCTTCTCTCAGAATGATCACCGAGATCAGCGTCATATGACGCTCTGATCGTACTTCACCTCAAGTGGCTGCGACGCTGCTCAAGGATAAACTGTAAGACACAATAAGCCATCCCCCTCTCGGCACCTACAGAGGAATATTCCGGTCAAGTCTGTTGCGGTTCCTACCTATGGTGACTCTTATTAAATAGCAGACATATAAAACGATGTCCCTCATTCCGCAGCCCCACCTGGACACATGAGGCCACACACACAGTGTACAGAGAGGCCAAATTCAGTTAAACAAAGGTCCACAAACAAACCTAGTTTCTAGAGCACTGTGGCATTTGATCACATTGTTGTTAAGTACAATAATAAAAAAAAAAATAATAAAAAAACCTTCTTTGTAAATTTCAAAAAGCTTTGTATTCCTATTCAAAGCACACCCTGAAATAGGCAGCTACTCGGAGATGAGGAGAAAAACAATGTCAACGGTACCGATGTCACCATTAAGAGAGTGTGTGACAATAACTTAGATCTGGAGTTTCACTGCACTGAAGTAATATCATTCACATCAAGTACGCAGCTCTCACTCTTTCACATATGGTACTGTCAGGTAACAGAATGCACATGGCTATTAAATAATTTAAAATTATTTCAAAACTTTTAAAATGGCATGTCATATGCCATTATCTCAAAACATATCCATCTCCTAATGCATATCCTAGTGAAGGTCACAGGGTAAACACTTATTTAGTCATCATTCAATGTACTATTTAAACGTTAGAAAAGCAGCACTGATATTTGCCCCCTAATAGAAACATCTTTACATACAGAATTAATGGCACCGAAACAAAACACTTTCCTGTAACCTGTATCTGGGATGAAGTAACTGCATAGGACTACATTGTAATTACAAAATAGCAGTAAGCAAAAGTTTTGTTCTAAATCAACAGTACACGTGGAAACTATGTGTAGGACAATATTAGACTATTTCGATTTTACCAGAGAGGATAGTTACATTATTTCACTATTAATCGCGCGATCATTGACAAATTCCATACGTATATTGGAGAAAAAAACACAGGTTACTTGACCTGTATCCGATACAGTGTGCTTTAAAAACGTCTCCTAATGCACGGCGTGAAAACAGCCACACATATAAGAGCACAAATTGTTTTCACTGATTTTCAAAAGGTTACATAAAAATGAATACGATATGGTTAAAATCACAAATGGAGAATAGGCCTTGGTCTACAAGTGAACATTAGCAAAACGTATGCGAATACGGAAGAAGTGTAGGTCACTCCAGATTGTGAATTTAATAATAGCAGTCTGTTTGTTAGAAATGTTTTGTGAAACACAAATTGCATTACCGGAAATATTTACTGCAAATTTGTAAAGCAGCGGCGTTTGGATTCGCTGCCCAAATTCTGGCTATATCCTCGGCTTGGTGGTTACAATCTCAGAGCAGCACCAATGCATCAGTCAAACCACAATTTATTCGCAAAATAGCGACAGACACGCCACAAGCACGTTGAGTCTGTTTCCAATACAATAAAAAAGAAAAACGGGCTTTATAAACCGCTGATTTTTTTTCAAGGGCGTTTAAATGCCGTTAATACGGCGAGTTGCTTTTCCCACTACGAAAGGGAAAGGGAGCGGCAGCGAGGCGAAAAGAGAAAACCTAAAGGGAACATTACACAGGCCTGCAAACAAAGCTTACAGTCATATTCAAAATATCACTTAGGAGAACCGCATCTTTAAATGTGTATTATTGTATTATTTATGCAAACATTAAGTATGAAATGTATAGAAACATAACCGCGTAGACTACAGCATACACTCGTTAATTTACGTTTAAAGTGGATAATTAAATGTATATTTAAACGAAAATACTTGCAGTCAGAAGGGCCGTAGATATGGTAAAACGGCTCTAAAATAACGTCACGCGTTCTGAAAAGGTTTTATTACACTTTGTGGATAAACGAATTACATCATAGCTTCTGGGTTTAAAAGCGATGATAATTTACTGCAAGTTACTGGGAAGCGCGCTGATTCATACCGTAAACAGATGCTGGAGGAGCGCACGAGCTTAGGCGGAGGCATTAACAATAATGTTTCAGAACAAAAACGGGCCGCGTCGCTGTAGCGCAGACCTGTGTTTTTCCTGCAGCGTGTCCATTATTTTTATTCATTCACGTCAAATACTTCAGACGTTTATCTGCGTCGTTTTGCTAAACGCGCATCTTTGGCCAATTAATAGCAGTCATTTGGGCGTTAGGAAAACGCTAAATAAAGTTATGTGAATTATTAATCTAAATCCGAATATAATAAAAATCAGTCCCTTCAGTTCTATATCCACAACCAGCAACAATGTACGACCAATCAGGGAAACAGAATACAGACATTAAATATAGGGCCTTTTTGTTTTATATCAAAATCAAATCGTATAATCTAAATAAACGTCTGAAAGTGTGCCCACTAAAATTCACCATCATGTAGGCTATGTAAATAATAAGGGCAAATACCAAAACTACAACTCATGAACAATAAATCATTATCGTCATAATTGTTATTTTATAGACAGTAATCAATTCAAAAGGTACTGCAAGGCTAAAGCTCCACCTAGAGGGAACACCGACACCCTGGGACGTCAGTGGGTATAAATCAGATTTTTTGAATCATATGAAATGCCTGACGTTCCCGTCGTGCAGTCCACCCCCA